ACTGGTGCTTCTCGATGGACAAGTATTAAATACGCTGGTTTACCTTGGGAATTGGGTCTTGAAGAAACTTTATGTCCTGGCAATTCACCACCTAAAAAAAAAAAAAAAAAAAAATTCAAAGAAGTGCTACTAGATTAAATATCAATCTAAAAAAAATTATATATATGTATGTATATGCAACAGACTTGCAAATATAATAATAATTCTATGAATATAAAAAATAATCACCTTCACCGGGTTTTGCACCTTGAGCCATTTTAATTTGTAATTCATCAGAATCAGAAAGGTAATAGGAAGTGACACCGAAACGTCCAGAAGCGACTTGTTTAATCGCAGAACGGAAAGAAGTACCGTTTGGTAAAGGAATAGAACGTTCAGGATCTTCACCACCTTCACCGGTATTTGATTTACCACCCAGACTATTCATTGCTAAAGCTAAAGTAGAATGAGCTTCTTTTGATATTGAACCATAAGACATGGCACCAGTACAAAACCTTTTAACAATTTCAGTCCAAGGTTCAACTTGATCTAATGGAATTGCTTTTGAATTATCAAAATCAAAGTCCAAAAGTCCACGTAAAGTACAATTTTTTATTTGTTCGTAAGCGTTACGTGCATAAGCATCATAAGCTGATTTATTTTTTGAACGTACTGCATCTTGAAGATTAGCGATACCAACCGGATCATTTATATGTGGCTCACCACCATCTCTCCAATGATATTCACCAGACTCTGGTAGACCTGGAGGGATAATTGTATCACGTGAAGGGTAACCTAGTTCATGGAAATTAATTGCGTCCAACGCCAGAATATCAAATGTAGTTCCTATACAAATAGTATAATATTGTTACTATGTGTCATTGACGTTTAGTAAGTATTTATATTAAATCTATATATATATATATGACTGTATATGTATGTGTGTGTGTATGTGTACATATATATATATCTAATATGATATAGATACCTTTTATTCTGCTAGAAGTTCCGGCGAAACAACGGGCAATTACACTTTCGTCTAGACCGAGTGCTTCAAAAATTTGAGCACCCTTATAACTTTGCAAAGTTGATATGCCCATTTTTGACATTACTTTGAGAACACCATTGTTTACAGCCTTCTTATAATTATTAATAATTTTTTCTGAAGGCAGATCACCTTTGATAGCATTTTCGCGTTTAAGTTTTAGAATCGCTTCCATGACAAGATAAGGACAAATAGCATCAGCACCATAACCTAATAAGACGCAAATGTGATGGACTTCACGTGCTTCAGCAGTTTCAACAATGAGGGCAATCTTTGAACGTTGCCTAATTCTAACAAGATGATGATGAACACCACCAACGGCAATTAATGAAGATATTGCGACACGTTCGGCATTTACGGCAGCATCGGAAAGAATGACAACTTTGAATCCTTCTGTAATAGCTTGAGAAACTTCGGAACAAACGCGTTCCAAAGCAAGAAGATAACCAGGGATACCTTCTTGTTTTGGGAAAGTAATATCAATTGTAGTAACAGTCCAGTCCGGTTGAACTCGATCCATACGTTTGATTGCATTTAATTGATCGATTGAAAGTACAGGGGATGATAAAGCAAGTCGACAAGTTTGATGTTCATTAATTTCTAAAATGTTGCCTTCTGGACCAACATAACACTCAAGAGACATAACAATCTCTTCACGAATAGGATCTATTGGTGGATTTGTTACTTGAGCGAATAATTGACGAAAATAGTCATAAATTAACCGCGGTTGGTCAGATAGACAAGCCAAAGGTGAATCATTGCCCATAGAACCTAGTGCTTCTTTACCATCAGTTAACTAAAAAAATTGAATGTGAATGTGAATTTAGAGTTAGTAATTGCAATAATAATAATTAATAATAATAATTAATAATAATAATAATAATAATAAATAATAATAATAATAAATAATAACAATAATAATAATAAAGAATAATAATTGCAAAAAACAATTGTAACAATAATATTAACAAAAAAAAAATAAAGTACCATGGGCAAAACCAAAAGATTTAATTGTTCGATGGTATAACCGAAAGCGAGTAGTCTTGGATCCTCAGACACAGGTATATCGTCTAATTCAACGGAAATTCCATTACCAGAAGCTTTTATTTTTTCAATTACATGATCAAGAGTAATCATATATTTATCAATCCAGGAACGGAAATTTGCCTTCGAAGCTACGGACATTTTTAATTCTTTATCGTCTACAACACGGCCTTCTTCGGTATCAACTAATAACATTTTTCCAGGTTGTAAACGACCTTTTTTAACAATTCGTTCAGGTTCAATACAAATGGTACCGACTTCCGAAGCACAAATCATTAAATCATCAGTGGTAATATAAAAACGACAAGGACGAAGACCATTACGATCCAAACTAGCACCACAATAACGACCATCAGAGAAAGTAAATAAAGCAGGGCCATCCCAAGGTTCCATAAGACAAGCAGCCCATTGGTAAAAAGCGCGTTTTTCAGGCTCCATAGCAAAATTATTTTGCCAAGCCTCAGGAATCATCATCATAACAGCTTCGGGAAGAGTAACAACACC